AAAACTTTTGAAAAGAAAGTGTTTCTTAAGGTAGTAAAGACACTGATTTCACCATGTTTTACCCGGTTTTCTCTTCGGGAACATAATGCAATCAAGGTGAATCATTCACCTCAGACTCTCTTCGAGGATTGAATTTGATACAATTGTATCAAATTACAATTGTATCAAATTCAACAAGGCACACCCTACATTCATGAATCATATGCTTCTCATTATGATGTTGCTTAGCTGTAATTGTTTAGGTACCAGAGGTACACACATTGATACTGGAGTCGGGTATGATATCATACCAATCTGAGATCTTTTTTGAAGTATACGATTATAATCAGACAAATTGATAGCATAAATGATTGAAGTTTTAGTGCTGACTTTTAACAGAGCATTTGGTAATAGGATTTGTTTGTTTATTATAATTGCTGAACTACGTGAGAAGATAACTGTTTCTGTTGGTGGAATAGTCACTTCCACTTGAATAAATTTTTCTTCATGGGGTATGAGTACCACTGTTTGTAGAACATGTACTGGGAATTGGATGTCATCTCGTTCTTCAAATTTTAAAAATGTTTTATCATGTCTCTTGTAGCCATATGAGATTTGAATACATCTCCGAGATTCTAATATATCGATATTATTATTTCTGGTCCAATTTCTTCCTAATATAAGACCTGTGCAGAGATTAGGCATCAACAAATGTCATTCGATGATTAATTTTCGCTTGAAGACGAACAATTACAATAGTTTTCAACTGACTGTTGTTAGCTGTTTGGTGAACATTTAATTTCTTCCTAATTGGTGGCTTTCTTGAAAGACTATTGTATACGTCTGCGTAGATGATTGAAACCACCGACCCCGTGTCAAATATAGCATCCATGATCTTTCCATTAACTGATGTTTTAATGATTATAGGTGATGATGGATTTTGTTGTTTTTGTTTGGGATCGGTACCATTGCAATCACGTTTATACGTGATGCTAGTTTATGAATTTTAGAATTTTATTTGAGGTTTTTTCAAATTAGTTTGAGATTTACACGTCGAAAACAATAGTAGTTTAATTAATAGTTTTAAGATTGTGGTTTATTCTGTTCGACAGTATCTGGCTGATTATCTCCATTGAGTGGTTCTTTCTCTAGTTTATCGTCGTTATAAATACAAACCAAGCGTAAGGTTTATTTTCAAGTTTTACTTAACATAAAATTTTTCGCCATTATACGTTTTTGTTGGATATATTAAAAATCTCCACTACTTCGAAAATATTACTTTTCGCGAGCACATATGCTACAAGCGTAGTGTCGAAGCAGAAAGCATCAGAAAAACTTTAAATAAATATAGATATTTAATATTAAAGGATATATTAAGAGGATGTCAACATTGTTTTGGGTACTCTTACAGAACGTGGTATGCCAAACTTCTTGCCGTACGACACCACACTCTACAAGTTAGGTCTCTCAGTTAACGATAGTGAAGGTCAGAGTCAGTAAAAGCTATCTCTAAAACTAACTATTACGCAACTTCGTCGTTAAGAGCCCTAAAATCTAACATATTTTCCACTGAAGCGGGAAAAAAGGGTATCGCTTCAAGAACTGGAAAAAAGCACATGTACGATCCTCTACCCTGACAACATACGAATGTTGATAGCCATTTAAATACGTTGTTCAATAATGTTTGTTTCAGTTTCCTATTGTACTTCTCCCAATCGAGATATTAAATAAATCAGAAGCGTGCAAAAAATTCAACTGTATCTAAGACACAAATGAACATGAAAAATAAAAATTCTGACTTACGATGACATCTCAAAATAAAAAGCATATGTTTTTCGACACTAATGGTGAGGTCGAAAAGCAACTGAAACAACCTAAATTTTGGAAGAGTAAACTTCAAAAAAATAAAAAAATTGTACAACGAAAGCGGACTGTTTTACGTCACGCAGATACACAATTTTATTCTAAACAGTCAAAACAAAAAATCAATGGAATAAAATAACCTCTACGACACCTAACGGTCTCCTTCGTTTTAGGAGTTCAGAGTCTCTCGTGAACGCGATTGTACAACATAATAAATTATTGCGTAAAGTCCAGTTTCAAAATTTATGATGTCTATTCATGTTTCATGACAAGTGTAGGGGTTATATCGATAAAATATCAAAAGAAGTTGTGTTGTATTTTGCCTACAACATGTGATTACGTGATCGAAAAGCTCTTCCAGTACTTTCAGAGATATGGTCAAAAGCTTCTTTTTATTTGAAAGAGCACGCATGAAATCAGTGCTTAATGATAGACTTTTTCCAAAATAATTCTTATTTGGATAAGAAACATTCTTTTATTGGTAAAATTTCTGTTAACTTTATATTTGACAAAAGTTTGTCAAAAAGTATGTCGTTAAGTATTGGTTTCATGCGTGCTCTTCCAAACAAAAGAGAAGCTTTTCGTTCTGTCTGTGAAAGTAGTGGAAGAGCCTTTTGAGCATGTAGTCTCATGCTGTGGGTAAAACGTGACACAACCTTTTTTATTCATTGAAAGTAGACACTAGGAGATAGTGTCGTTTGGCAAAATAAATTTTGATTGAATAAGAAAAATACTTTTATTATCAAAACTTGACGATTATTTTTATAGAATTTCAGTTTCAAAGGGTATTTTTAATTGATGCATCTCTCAAAAAAGGTCGATAAAGTAGCAAATGAAAAAATGAGTTTCGATAGTCACTAGTATCGAGCCAATTTGAAACAAAAATAAGTTTGACTCTATCTGTTACGGTAGCAAACTGTCACGACAAGCACGAATGATCAACAAACAAAGACAACAGAGATATTCAGACAGTTATAACCCTATTACGTTCAGAAACAGGGATATTCATCGAACAAGAGCAAAAAGTAGGCTATTTTACCATCCAAAGAATTCTCTAATACACTTCATCATAGACGATCACTTTTTTCGACTACAGAATGTGATATAGTGTGCCTTTTGAAGCTTTCTTTCGCGTACGAAGGAAAGAACTTATAAATCAAGAACTCTTGAAAAATTGTAATTAGGATTTTTCAGAAGATTCAAGAAACTTCTTCATTTATAAAAAAAGAGCCAAGTTTAAAAAAAAAGGGCTAAATTATGCTTTGTAACAAAGTGTTCTCTACAATCTATGATAAAGGATATTTGAGTCTCCTGGATTGGAAATCCAAAAACATAGTGCTGACGCACACTAGAAGAAAAAGTGAAGCAAAGAGCCTTATCTGTCTGAAAAACTAAAACCTAATTCGGTTGACATCAGTCCGTGCATAGTCTTTTTCTCTTTTGCTAAAATAGACTATCTCCCCATGATCAATCTCACGTCGACTAATGTGAAACATACACTTACATAATAGATTAAACACAATGGACCTTGGTTATGTCCATTTACTTTCAGTTCAAGATTCTGATTTACAAATAGTTAATGATACACTAATGCTTAACAGAATGAAAAATATAACATTAATATGGCTTGACGAAAATATTGATGGAGAAATCAAACAATTATTAGAACAATTAAATGATGATGTTTTAGGTTGTACTAATAGAGATATATTCTTTGAAGCTATAAATAAAATAAAAAATGATTATATAATTCTTATTCTATCTGGTAATTGTTCTAAACATATATTATCATCAGTACATGATCAAAAACAAATTGATTCCATTTACATATTTTGCATCAATGATCAGTGTTATGATGATCTTTCAAATAATTACTCTAAAATAGTTGGAATTTATACTGAATATAAACATTTATTCGAAAGTCTACAAAAAACTATACGTTCACTTATTAATCAAATGGCTACATTTAATTTATTTAATTAAAAACAAAAAGCATTTAAAGAACTAACGAAAGAATCAGCTGAATTTTTATGGTATCAATTAATAAGAGATTATTTAATAAATATTCCTAAGACAGTTAATTCTCAACAAGAAATGATTGATAAATGTCGTTCATATTATCGAGGAAATCAATCTTATTTAAAATATGTTAATGAATTTCAAGAAACATACAAAACAAATCAAAATGGTATCAAATGGTATACAAAAACAAGTTTTATTTATAGACTTGTTAATCAAGCATTAAGAACTGAAGATATTGAAGCATTATTGACATTACGCTATTATATTGTTGATCTTTGTACATGGTTAAAACAAGAATCTGATGAATTAAAAGAATATTTATGTCGTATAACAATTACATTATATCGTGGATTAAAATTATCTGATGATGAAATAGAAAAATTAAAAAATAACATTGATAATTTAATATCAACAAATGGATTTTTATCTACAAGTAAATCAATAGAGATTGCATGTGCATTTGCTACAAATGTTTTATTTGAAATTAAAGTTAATACTGAAGTAGAAAATATTATATTTGCTCATATTTCAGAATATAGTATGATTAAAGGCGAAGGAGAAGTTTTATTCGATTTAGGTACAACATTTCGAATTACAAATGTTGAATATAATGATAATATAAAATTATGGATTGTATCTATGATAGATGATGTTGATGAAGGATTCAATATAATAAAGGATTATATTAAAATGAAAAAACAGAAAATGAATGAAATTATGACTGGTAAGATTAGTTTTTCATCTGGATGGCTTTTAATTGAAATGGGACAATATACTAAAGCTATTTATTATTTTGAAAATTTATTACAGTATACAACAAATGAAATAGAAAATATTTGTATTTCAACTTATCTAGGTATTAGTTAATATAAAACAAATCAAATTGAATTAGCAATAAAACATGTCACAAATGCATATGATCGATGTACCACTATTGATCCTTGTCCTTCAATAATAAGACATATAATAAATTTAATTGGCTCTATTGATTTGGATAGACATGAATATGATCTTGGACTACAGAGTTATATAAGATTATTACAAAATGAGATGTGTGGACAAAGTGTCTAAAAACGAATTGACGAATCGCAATTTTTAAGGGTAAAAATGATGCAACAATTTTCGCGTTTTACCCTTATTTTGCGAACTCGTACCGAATTGATGCGAACTGTATCGAATTCGTACGGATACTCTTAAAACCTTTTACGGATTCTTCTTGCGAATTCGTAAATAGAGAATAGATCAAACACGATGCTGATCAATTTGCAAATAATTCGTAAAATTAGTTTACGAATTCGGGTTCACTGTTTTTGGAACTAGATTAATTCGTAAATACGAATTAGTGAATTCGTATTACGAACTGATCCAGCAGTTGAAAATGGATCCAGGAATTGATAAACCCATTCTGCAAATTCATCGCGGATGTGTACGCTTACTAGCCTACGTAGGGACAGGACACTTTTCTCTGAGGTTAAAAATAGATAGATTCGTCTCTTCTCATTGATTCACATACTTCTCATACCAATTCGCCATTATTCTTACGTATTCGTAAAATACGGCATGTTGTGTAAATACTCACAGCCATCCTCACTGTGTCTCCCCCGCTCCGCACATGCA